GCCATAAGCCAGTTAAATCTCTTTTCTTTGTAAATTACCCAGTCTTAGGTATTCTTTATAGCAATGTGAGAACAGATTAAAATACCTTATATGATTTCTGCTGTCTATCCTTTTCAGCACAGCTCCCTCCCTTGGGCTTCCATAGTAGTCTATGCATATATCTAGCAATTAAACTTTTTTCAATGTATTTTAACTGTTTATATATCTTCTCTCTCATAAGATGATCAGGAATAATTTTTAATCTAACTTTCCATATCTACCTCTCACTCCTATTCTTGGCATATAACAGATATTCAGTAAATATTTCTTGGAGCAGATTTACTGGAGGTAATAGTTGAAACTTGGAAATCTCCAAGAGATGTATAAATTTGTTGTGATTTTTCATGTATACTTTTATTTAAGAAGCCAGGCTAAACTCACAGGAAAAAGTTAAAGTTGATTTATGTTTTGTTTCTTAACAAGTATTTCTGATTATATTCATTTTATTTGTTTTTCCCTCTTAATTTACAAGTAGCACGTCTTCACCTGAAATGGAGTTATTGTTTGCTCATTTTATTTAAATTCACTTAAACATTAGGCTGAATCACAAAAAAATCATTTTTTATGGGTCAGACATAGATACTGGCAATTTTTATGGTTCAACCCACAGTATAAGGATTCAGAACTAAGTAGCTTCTTCGCATCAGTCTACTGTATTTTTACATAGCTCACATAGTCTGTGTTTCTTGGTATGAGTAACTTTTATGAGTTGATATAGATTGTCTCAATTCAGGTGCTGCCTCAGGTGGTAATGAAACTTCAAATGAGGGTACTATTTAAGCAAAAGTTGGAAAGTCGTGCATCAGAAAAGCCTCAGAATGGACTTTTGTATTCTGTAGAAAAATGAACTCTATTACTACCTCCATGTTCACTCCCAACTTCCAATTACATGACTCTATGAGAGTTAAAATAATATAACATTATTAAAATGTTAATTTGTTCCTTTATGCCTGTCCCACAATTGAATTTTCAAGTAGTTGATTACATTTCTCTCTGTGGATTCAGGAAACCGTTAGTCTCACATTATCTAATTTACTAAACATATTTTGGCCCTTACAACTCTTCCATTAGTCATTTCTAAACACATTTAACACAAAGGAATAAGACGATGTTTGATGTTAATGAGCATTGCTTCCTGGAGAAAGACCGGGACTGCAGGTACAGCGGGAAACCAGAGGTTAGGATTCCCAAACCTTGGAATTCTGAACCTCTAGTCCTCAGCCTGGGCAAATTAGATCTTATCAGAAAAGGTAACCTACTATTAATATAAATGTCGGCATTTAAATGAATTTCAGTGTTACAAGTGTTTGTGTGAAGGTGAATTTCAGTGTTATGACTGTTGGCATTAAGATGAATTTCAGTGTTGTTATGAATTTTGGTGTTAATATTTTCCTTACAGCCAATTCCTTAATTCCTTCTAACTTTTAAACTTAAAACAATCTTTGAAACTAAATGAGCTGAAAATACCTTTTAAAAATAAGAAACACATTTAGATTCTGGTGCACAGCAAATTCCCTGTGAATAAAAGTTCCAAATTTGTAATTCTATTTGCATTTCCATAAACACAGTCTTTGTGCTTATTATGTGACAAATAACAGTGTTAGAAATGGGGTGTTTTAAGACTCTCATTATGCATATGCTCCTATTCTCATTGGTGCATATATTGCAAGGTAAAGCTATACAAAACTTGTACTTTGGATTCAAGAGCTTTCTTTTTTAAGCTGATATTTTAATGAATTTTAACTAACATTGACCTCATTTAAAGGAATTAAAACATTAAGAAATTTAAAAGGTGCTAAGCTGCCACTGCTCCTTGGGAAGCAGATTCTGAAATGCAGATGAGCATGCAAAATATGTATTAAGAAATCCCATGGGGTCAGCACCTGGAAAGGGACGGAAGGAGCCAGGAGTGGGGAAAGGAAGATGAGCTGTGATGCAGGCCCAGCAAAGGTCCCAGGCAACATCTCAGTGAGCTCTCTGGCTGACCTGAGTCTTTTCAGTTAGCCAAATCAGGCACAGGGGATCCTCTAGACCTCACATTGATCAGAGAGACTAGACTGTAGACCCCTGAGTTCTCACACTCACGTGAGAGTTCCAGGTCCCAGGCATAGTAAGGAAGGAGCAGAGAGTTCCAGAACTGAAAAGACTGTGTGGTCTAGACCACAGATGAATTACGGGTAGTGGATATGGACAAGGTCTTTCACACCCGAAGAAGAATCCCGGTAGCCCATCACATGACAAACACACCTGGGTTTGAGGCTGACTGTGGTTATGTTCCTATCTCTCTTGCTAAATGAACATAAATTTAAATTAATTAAAATTTAATAAAATCAAAACTTGAGTTTCTAAGTTACACTAACCACATTTCAAGTGCTTCGTAGCCACATGTAGCTGGCAGCTATTGTGTCAGATAGCACAGAGCATTTCCACCAGAAATATTGAGATATTAGGAAATATTGAAAAACAGAATTGCAGAACGTTTTGCTGGACAGCACGAGTATTACATAGCCACATCTCTTGGAGGTCTTGCTGCCTCCCTGGGATACTTCCAGGAAGAGGCCCCTTCCCCCTATTCCCTCTCTCCTTCTCTAAATCTAAGGACAGTCGCTTTTTAGTCTCCATAAACCATTAAGAAATATCTTCTTAATTTTATTTTTTAAATTTATACTTGGCATGAATCTGATTTGGTTAACTATAACTGGGATTAATAGAAACTGAAAAGTGTTTTTGTTTCCTTAAGGGAAGGCCAGGATATGGGGAAATATTTAGATTCATCCCACTCATTCAGTTAAAGAAAAAAGAAAACCAGTTGGACATTCTATTTAAACCATATGGACATTCATTCCCTGCCACAGTAACATCCACAAACACATTGGTCAGCAAAAATTAATCAAAAGCAATACAATTATGACATTAAATCTATTTTAAAACATAGCAAATACAACATTTCAGACTTAGCCTACTCCAAAATAAACCGTGTTTGATAATACAAACCTGCTCCATTGGACAAACCTTTCCATGAGTCACCTCCTTTAATTATTCACTAAACATTGTTTTGGTAGCTTTAGTTGCCAATTCTTCTGTAGCAGTCTTCTATGAGTTTTTGTAATGCAGACTGCATCTTTTTTGAAACATTTCTGGACAAACCCTTCCAGCATTGGAATTTAATGTCTTTAGTAGCATTCATTATTTATTTTCTTCTGGAGCTTCAGCAAAAGGCTTACCATCACATCGGCCACTTGTGGTGTTTGGGATATTATTTTTCTCCAGTCTAGTGTTCAGAGCATATCTTGAAAGGGTGAAGCTGAAGATCTTTCCACATCACCCATAGGCCCTCCCATGAGACCCATGGGAAGAGGAGGATATGCTTCTTATATTCATGGTCTCCAGTGAAAGGGAACTGCACTACATCACACATACATACACGTGTTGCATTTTTACAACATATAATTGAAAATTATACAACTGTACCATGTAAAAAACTGGTCTTGCACCACTCTATGATGTTGACACAGGAGGACTGCCATCTAGGAGTGGACATCCATCAGAGTCCTCACCTCCCTGAGTTTGATGCTGCAGTCTCTCAGACTAGGATTCATTTCTTCATTGGTTTAGTCATTTATTTATTGAAGTATACATGTGATAAACAGTGGGCTAGGCTTTGGGGTTTTATTGGAGCATATAACCAAGAATCTCAAATAATAATCAAATTACTCCATATATTAATATGATGAAATGCCAAACACTTCAGTCTAGTAAAGCTTGGATAGGAGAGTGGCTTATTGTTGAGGCTAAAGTGGGGCTCCCAGTGCCCTTCCCAAATATACACTGTGAGTGAAGATATGTGCCTGAGCCAGTAGATAGGAGGCAAATGATGACAGACCCTCCAAATCCAAGCCTAGTCTTTAATCATTTGCACTAACCTGGATCACAACTGTGCAGCATACCAAGTCTCAGGCAGAACAGAGAAAAGGCAGATAGCCCTCACCCTTCAAATCAATGACCTTGCCCATCAGACAGATGTTGCCAGTGAATGAGTCATTCTCCTGTCAAAGAGAAGGACCTGGTTAGAGAGGGGAATGGACACCCACTGCAGGTCACTCTACTCCTTGAAAACAGAGCAGACCCCATAGTGGTCACTGGACCCAGGCAGCGTAAGAAGAAAGTTTTTAAACTTCTCTCTTCCTACCAGCAATTCCTGCCTCATAGGAATATTGAAGGGTGAGAGATTAAGTAAAATACAGTGTTGGTATTGATAGGTGTGTGCCTAGCAGGTAGTTGGGGTCTGACAAGTAGCAGCAGGTTCTCTTTTTCTTCCCCTCTCTGATATCTTAGGAGTTTCTTGAGAAAAGGTGCTGGATCTGAGTAATTTTTGCAGTAGGTTTATTGAATGGAATTGTTTTCTTTATTGAGACTTCAACATGCTTAGCAGTGAGCTTATTTAGTTTAAAAATATAGTAGAATTATAGGATTTTTTAGGCCAAAAAGGGGCCTTTGAGATTATAAACCAATGTCTTCATTTTACAGAGGAAAAAACTGGGACCCAGTGAGGTGGGAGAATGAGGATTCAAGCTCCCAACTCAGAGTGCTTTCCACTTTTCAGTAGGAGCTCCTTGACGGTGGTGTTTCTGTCAATCTGTATCCCGAACACCCCAAAAAAGTGCCTGGCATGTTGTTGTCTCTTAGATAATATTTGTTAAATACATTAATTCACCATATTTCCTGCTCGGTCTTTAGCAGTTGTAGATAACTTGTGGCTTTGCAAGACTGTTATGAAATGGGCAATTCATGATGTAATCTTCTCTACACTGCATATAGGGGCTTCAAGTTTGAGTCTTTCATGGAATATGTAGAGAAAAAATTAAAATGCTTTAGTATCTTTTAAAATACATATATGTATATTTTTAAAGGTACATCAAGGAGTAATGCACCACTTGGTGCGTGTTTCATTTTTATTTTAGGTAGGAGAAGTAATCACAGGTGGTCAGCAAGCATTCAAATCTGTGAAAACTACCTCGGACAGGAGCAGAGAACAAACAAATGCAAGGTACTACCCTCCCAGTCTGCCCTTAGCTGTATTACATTGTTCTCTTCATTTTCATTTGTTGGTTGGAATGCAGCTTCCAAAATTATGCAATTATTTAAAGTTTTGAGATGATTCATACCATGAATGTTAACGTTTGTTTCCCAAACCATGGACTCTTGCTTTGTAGGGCTCCTGATTCCTAAAAAACAGATGTGTGTGTATACAGGTCCCAATGTCTTGTCATAATATGCCCCGACTGGTAATGTCTGCACCAGTGACGGACTAACATTTACCAAGTGCCTGCTTCATGTCAGGTGCTCTTCTGTGTGCTTTACTCATATTAACACATTGAATCTCATAATTTTTATGCCCAGTTTACAGTTAGGGAAACTGAGGGAGGGAGAAATGTAGAATATACTGAAGGCCATGGAGCCGTGACATGCTGGGACAGCCCTACTGGTAGCATTGCTGTCAACTGCCTCCCTTTTATGATCTGTGTGTCAATCCACAGACTCCTCAATTCCCAGGGATACAAGGGCCCCTCCTGTCAATCTCCTGACTGTTGGTCATTTTCTGGCCTTTGCTTAAATTCCTTTCCCAACAGGACTCTCACCCTCTCAAGAGAGTATTCATTTCATTCCTGGTATCCTCTACTGTTGGGCAGCCTCTCTCTGTCTCTCTTTGATTCCTAAGTGAAGGTCCAGGCTCTGCTTCCTGGAGACCCTCAGAACCAAGTCAGTCTCCCTTAAGCAGTGACATCCCTTAAAGTAGTTTGTGCAAAGCTCTCCCCTTTCTCTGTTCTTCTCTAGAATGAGATCCCAGTTCTTCCAACTGTCCTGCTTCTTATGATTTTCAGACTCTTATCATCCAGATGGTAAAATCTATTTTGAAGTAAAGCAAGCTATCTTTGTGCTACAAATGTATATGCTAGATTTACCACCATAAAAATACCTGAACAAGAGCTATATTTATGTGTTGCATAATAAAGCAGTCAGGCATTGGTATATTCAAAGACAACTGCCGAAGTTTTGTAGAGATTTTTAAACATGGGGTTTGTTTGAACAACAGGTATGCAATTGAATTCCTACTGAAAAGTGGGTTGCTGTTTTTAACCTTGGAAATCCACTCTATTTCCCAGCTCAGTGATTTCCATTGCACATACAAGATTCACGGGTATTATGACTATTATGAATATTCACAGCCATAATTAACCCCCAGCAGCATCAACACATGGAAAGAGTCTGAATCTAATTTGTGAGGAATCAGCAATGGAAAGCCAAATCATTGCAAACAGTTCGGAGCTGGTTTTCAGACCCCAGGAAAACTATCATTACTGTGATTACACTTGAGGATTCAAGATGTCTTAGCATGATTCGTCGTAATAGTCCCTTCTGTGGTATTTTTGCAAAGCCTTTCTTTTTCTTTTTGATTGCTGAGAAATGATCACCCCACAATCACATATAAAATGCCTGTGTGAAGGTAGTTTGTGCTGCTCTTAATCACTGGCAAACTCCATTGTGTTATTTCAACCTCGGGCTGGGCAACCCCATTAACCAAGCAGCTGCCCATTGAAGTTGCTCATGGGAACTGAGGTCAGGCAGGATTGTTGGTTTTAGGCATAGGACTGTAGATGCAGCCGGCCACTGGGAGGGCCACAAGAGGCCCTTGACCTTCTCTTGGCAGAGTGGTTTGTTTCTCATGCTGGGGAGAAAGTGAATGGAGAGGAAAGAGCGTCTGGGGTAGGGTTTTGTTCATCAGGACTGGAGGGTAACAATCAGTGACCTCTTATGGTCCCATAACACCATAGAATGAGGGAAGATGCACAAATTCCTCCAAATGAAGCAATTTATTGAGTGGTGACTCTGCTACATGATGCTATGTATTATCTTTCATCTTCAAGAACAACCCTGTAGGTAAATACTATTATTTCTAATTTACCAAGATTGAGAGGCAGCATTTGCCCAAGATCTCAAAGTCGGTAAGTGGTAGAACCAGTTAGAAAACCTCAGGCTTGCCTTCTTAATCTCTTCCTGGTATCTTTTAATAAACAGAAGATCTTGTTTTTAAAATAATCAAAATTGTTAAACTTTTGTGTGGTTAATTATTTTATTTTTGTTCTGTTCTAGAAATTCTATCCTGCCCTGAGGTCATAAGGGCAGCCCTATATTTTGTAAGGCTTTATACTTCTGCCTTTCACATTTAGATATAATTTGATGAAACATCTAATCCATCAGGAATTAGTTTTGTTTAAAGTATGAACTTTAATTTTTCCCAGTACGGGCACCCTGCTGTCCCTGTGTCTCTTATTAAAATGGTTATTCTGTCTACATTAGTCACCAAGGCCACTTCTGTCACAGACCAGGTGTCCACGTCTGTATGGGTTTGTCTCTATTCTGCTCTACTTACGTAATTTCCATAGTCTTATAATGAGCTTTGTAAGTGGTCAGAAATGTCCTCTCACCTTTTTCTTCTTGAAGAGTGAGTTGGCTATTTTATCCCTTTGCACTTAACATATATATTTCAGAATCAACTGGGTGAGTTTTACGCACACACAAACACACACTCAGGTGTGTATTGGGATTTTCTTTGAATTGTATTGGCCATCTAGATCAATTTAGGGAGAACAATTCTTATAGTATTAGTATTTCTCTGTCTTTTCTTTGATCTTATTTGATATCTCTTTGCAACTTTTCCATAAGCATACCCATGTGTTAATTTTTAGGTGTGTGATATTTTGATGCTATCATAAATGTATTATTTATTTTTTCTCTGTTGCTGGTATATAGATTGCAATTTACTTCTTTGTAAAATACGCATTACCTCAAATTGACCATTGTAATCATTTAACAGTGTACAATTCAGTGGCATTTAGTATATTCACAATATCGTGTGACCATCACCACTCTGTAATCCACTTTTATGTTTGATTTCGTACCCAGCAACTTTACTAACCTCACTTATTATTTTATTAATTAATCTGTGGGTTCTTTTAGATTTTCCCTATGCCTGCAAAGAATAATAGCTTACTTGCTTGCTTTCTGACTGATGCTTATCTCTTTTATTTCCTCTTCATGCCTTACTGCACAGGGAAAGGCTCCAGGATGGTGTTGAATAGAGGAGTGATGGCACCATCTTCGTTCGTTGTTTTGCTAAGTTCAGAGGGAAGCTTTCCATCTTTTACTAGAAAGTCTGAGACGTTATTTAAACATAGTAATTATAGTGGTTTTATAGTTCATATTTTCATATTCCAATATCTGAAGTTTTTGTGTTTCTATTTTTGTTCCTGTTAATTCTGTTGGTTCTCATGAAAAGTGCTTTTTTTTTTTCCTTGAATAGTTGATGTTCTTTTGTTCGTTTATTTGTATTTTTGAGACAGAGTTTCGCCTTTGTCACTCAGGCTGGAATGCAATGGCATGATCTTGGCTCACTGCAACCTCTGCCTCTGGGTTCAAGTGATTCTCGTGCCTCAGCCTCCTGAGTAGCTGGGACTATAGGCACTTGCCACCACACCCAGCTAATTATTATTATTATTATTATTTGTATTTTTAGTAGAGACAGGGTTTTGCCATGTTGGCCAGGCTGGTCTCGAACTCGTTGTCTCAAGTAATCCACCCGCCTCAGCCTCCCAAAGTGTGGAGGTTACAGGCCTGAGCCACTACGTCTGGCCTTTTACTGTGAGCTACTGCATATAGAACAGTTTTCTGAGTGACCTTAGACCAACCCGTTTCCCCCACTTTCTTACTTGGAGTTCACAAGAATAACTGCGGAATGCACTGGGAATACAACATCTTGAGATAAGAGGGAGCTGGCTGAAATAGCCTCAGTTCTGTTTCAGCTGCCTTCCCCACTCCGGAAACAGATGTCCTTCAGTGCTATAGCCCAGTGATCATGTGACCCAGGGGTATACAATCCAGGACGGGCTGCTTCCTGGGGTCCCTCTGCTGTCATGCAAGTGAGGCATGTGCAGAAGAGACTCCATCTGTTTCCCAGGCAGTTTTCCTGAGCCTTGGGGTGCAGCTCCCAATGCACCTATGGTTTCTGTTGTCCTCTGCTGCCTGTCTATAAGTAATAAATCTGATTCACGTAGCCTGTCGTGTGTGGGGGTGTTCTGTTTTACTGGACTCAGGCAAGTTGGTAACCAGTACACAGGGAACTTGTTTCACAATCCACTGCCTAGGAAAATAGTCTGGTGGTTCCTTAGAGGCCTGGGAGGTACTTGGCCAGGGAACACTGGCATGTGCTGCAGAGAAAAAACACTGCCAATTTGGAACCACTTTCATCTAAATTCAAGACTGAGGATTTTTAACCAACAGCTGCTGTAAACTTTCTAGTTTGTGGTGACAACTCAGTTTTCCTCTGCCTCACTGAAGCAGCTTTCCTCAAAGTGCCTTGGGGAGGTGAGCAGTGGGCATTTACTCTTAAAGCAAGAGAAGCTGGCACTGCACCCTTATTATGGAGAGTGTGTCCCATTAGACTGCCCACTGGCATGCTCAGGCTTTGCCCTCTGTCTTCAGACTCTTTAAGGCCAGACTGACCAAAGCACACCTTCAAGGGCTCCCCAAGTACTCTCAGGGCAAAGGTGGCTTCAGGGCTCTGTTCTTCTCTCTGAGTTCCCACTTTCCTTGATTTCTGACCTTGTAGTTCTTTGTGATCGTATTGAGTCTTTCATGATCTCAAGAAAGTTTTCAGTGAGAAGTAGGAGTCTTTGGTCCAGATATGCCAGCTTACTAGAAAACCAGAAAAAAGAAGTTCTTTCTTTATGTTTTTTTTTTTTTTTTTTTTGATAAAAGGAATGAATCTCTGATGCGTTTTGCACTTAGTGATTGGTTTTAGGCATTTTGTTTTTTCTTGCTTATTTCCATGATGTTCAATCTGTTGATTTTGCCTTCCAGCTATTCTTATTGGATTCTAGAGGTTCTATTTCTGACAGTCAGGTCAGGGGTAAGACCAGTGATAGGCATCTGTCCTAGAGGCCTCTGACATTAAGGCGGAAAACAAAGGAGAAAAGGCCCCTCTGCTGT